CTATTTTCTACAATTAGAGAAATTCAATGCAAATAAATCTCAAATCAATAAATTGATAAGAACAGATGGATCTACTGCTGCAAAACTACCAGAAATAAATCATGAAATTAAATCATTCTATGAAAAACTCTACCACTCAAACAGAAAAATTGACACAAAATTAGCAGAAAACAACTTTTTACAGGCAGACAATATTCTAAACTGAATGAAAATGTGATGCAATCATGTGAAGGTCCCATTACCTTGGCCGAAGCCACTGATGTTATGAAATCACTTGTCACCAATAAATCCCCTGGGAATGATGGACTGCCATGTGAATTTTACAAGGAATTTTGGTCACTAATTGGTCCTCTGGTTGTAAATTCTCTAAACAAAGCATATGAGGTAGGAGAACTCTCTCCATCTCAGAAACAAGGCATTATTGCATTGATACGGAAAAAAGGGAGAGACGCTAGATATTTAAAAAAAACTGGCGGCCAATAACACTTCTAAACTGTGACTACAAAATAGACTCCAAATGTTTGGCAAAAAGATTGGAAAAGGCACTACCAGAAATTATTAATGAATCTCAGACCGCATTCGTAAAAAATCGCTTCATAGACGATGTTGTTCGTCTGGCTGAAAGCATACTAGATTACACAGATGAAGACAACTTACCTGGCATCCTCATAACCATTGACTTCGAAAAGGCATTCGATAGGGTGGAATGGAACTATTTGATGAGTTCATTGGGGGCATTTGGATTTGGTAATGGATTTATGAAATGGATCAAAGTACTGTATTCTAACATAACAAGCTGTGTCATGAACCGGGGGACTGGTACTGGATACTTCCCTATTGGTAGAGGAGTACGCCAGGGAGATCCCATTTCACCATTTCTTTTTATTATTGCATTAGAGCTGTTTCTGATCAGACTATGATCCTCTGGAAATATTAAAGGCATCCACATTGACAACACTGAAATTAAAAACGCTGTGTTTGCTGATGATTTGACTTGTTTTTTAAATGACACCAAATCTATAGCAAATCTTTCCTCCCTACTAGATGCATTTAAAATCATTTCTGGTCTATCCATAAACCCTGACAAATGCGAAGATGGAAGGATCGATTTGATAAATCAATGAAAATTTCATGGACTAGTTTCGTGAGGATCGTAGGCGTGTTTCTATCTTATGATAAGAAAGTAGCAACAGATCTAAATATAGCTGGACCATTGCAAAGTTTGAAAAAATGTTTGAACTTCTGGAAAATGCGTCAATTAACACTACTTGGAAAAATACAGATCATAAAAGCCCTTGGTATATCACGTTTCCAGTATATTTTAAATATAGTGGATATCCCAAAACATAATTTAAAACAAGTCAATAAACTTCTGTACTCCTTTCTTTGGAATGGACCAGACAAAATAGCAAGACACACCATCACGGGTGAGACAAAGGTTGGTGGTCTAGCAATGCCAGATATTTTCGCAATACAAAAAGCTCAACGTATTAATTGGCTGAGAAGATTCTGTGACAACTCTTTCTCTCACCCCTGGAAATTATTTTTGTCTCGTAAATTACACACGGTGGGAGGAGTAGATGTTTTACTGAAATGGCATTATGATTTGAAATTCCTTCCGGCCAAACTCTCCCCATTTTTTCACAATATGCTTAAGACATGGATCTCGCTGCGATATGAACCACATGAACAAGAATTATCAATTAATGACTGTATTTGGAATAATGCTAAACTTTTGATAGCACGAAAGAGTTTCTTTCATAGAGATATGTTTGATGCTGGTCTGATGTATCTTGGCCAATTGTATAACAATGGTAGGTTACTGCAGTGGGAAACAGCAAAACAAAGTTTAAATATTTCCAGTCACTGCTTTTTAAAATGGTATGGTATAATTGCCGCGCTCCCGAAGGAATGGAGAGGGACTGTTAACACCTCTAATTTTAGACAACCTCAAAACGAGGAACATCTGTATCTTACATTTTTAAACAAATCTTATCATTTGAATAGTTGCAAAACCAAATATATAGCAAACGGAATTGTTTCCAAATACTTTATACCCCCTAGATGTGAATTGTACTTTACTAATCTATTGGATGAAGTAATCAATTGTTGGGACAATATATATATAGCAGAATATTCATACTAAATATAGACACAAATTTGATGACACAAGTTTCAATGGAAACTGGTAAATAATATCCTATACACCAATGGAAAACTATACAAATTAACTCCCCCTAGAGAAATATCAGCAATGTGCAGCTTTTGTAATGCAGAAATTGAGTCGATCCTCCATCTCTTTTGTGATTGCGATTATACTAAGGCATTTTGGGAAAACTTTAATTATAAATGGGGTATTCATATTGGCCTCAGATTGAGATCATTGTCAAACAAAGATATTCTTCTTGGAAACGAGGATTATTCATTACTACTGAACTTCCTAATAATTTGTGGGGAAAAAAATATTTATACATGTAGAAGGAAAAAGCAAAATCCTAATTTCACACATTTTAAAAACTTTATTCAGGAGATTCAATACACTGAATATATTATTGCAAACAAAAATGGCAAATTAAACTCGCATAATAGGAAGTGGGGTGAATACCTAAAAAAAGATTGTTTCAAGAAATAAGCAATTTTTTGAGCCATAACCCATCTCTGTATACTACTTGTACTTATTGTAAAATAATGATTTTGCCGCCATGTTGTCTTGTCTACCAGTGACCACTGGGTAACTTTATTTCTCAAACTGAACGTAGATGTCAGTATTACATAATGGTATTACATGCTAAATACATAGCTTCCATGTAACATACATCACATGCCCCTTTTCACTTGATACTTATTATTTATGAATAATGAGTTTGTACACAGTTTTGAATGGTATACATGTGCTTACAATACTTAGAATCAGTCCTTGGACTGCATACACTAGATCACATACAAGACAGTATTTTAATTTGTTACATAACTTGAACATCAAAGAAAGCAAACTCACTGAGAACTATTTTAAATAACATTATCTTTAGAACCTTGGTTTGCAAAATTGACCTATCAAAATAAACTTGGTTACGCTTAAGGAATTCATGTGATCCTTTGTAGTATAAAAGTGATGGTTTGTTTTTATATTACAGT